GGTGTATTGTCATGATGGAGAGGTCTTAATGGGAAGCGACATTTTAAAAAACTACGTAGTTGTAGTGGCAACCATAGGTCCCTACCTGGAAGAACAGGAAGCCAGCTAACCGTGATAAGAAGGGATACTTTAATATAAAGCCTTGAGTAAATATAACACTTGGCAGTTGTCTTCTGTGTACGTGCACATTGAATGTCCAAGGTGGGCGGAGGAACAATGTTGTAAACCCCTTTCCGTTTCACATGCTGTAGAACAGCTGACTGGTGCAACCAACAGTAAATAAATGTTGGCCGTTAGGGTGTATTCTTTATAAGTATGTCTCAGTGATGCACACTGACTGGGAGCAGACAGAATAATAGGGAGGGAAACTTGAGCAGGAAGCAAGTGGCCAAAAGGTGCCACAGTTTAAAACTTCAGCTTGAAGTTTATACTGGCAAGAAGGTGAGATTCTTTTCTTTCTAGACACAGCCTTTTCCATTTGGAAAACTTCTGAGACTTTCAAACTTATTACAGTTTGTTTTCATTGGTGGTAAATAAATTATCAAAAAAGAGAACAAAGAATTTTGAAATAATTTCAGTTCATGCTCTACAGAGTTTTGTTTGAACTTTCAAAATTAATTTTCTTTTGGAGGAAAAGCATCATTTTATGTGAGAGGATCTGCAGGTGGATGAATTTACCATCTGAAAACTACTGGCTTGCTTCACAGGTGGAAATATGATCTTTATTGGAGCAGTTACACTGGTTTTATTAGGGGAAATCCTACATCATTTCTCCTTCTCCTATTCCTAAGATTAAATAGTAATGAACTTTATTCAGACGTCTTTGGCTAAAGCTGTATAACTAAGCACCTTCAAAAGAAGTTGAAGGAGGCCTATATAAATTGCCTCTTTGGAGAATCCAATTGACGAGTAACTAATGTAAAAATATCTGGTTGTAAAACGAGCATGTAAAATCCTGAGTGTTCAAGGTTTAAAAGCAAACTTATCAGGATTCAAACTCAGAGGCACTAAAACACCTGTTTCCTTTAAAATTCCTGCCTAAACTTGGACTTCAGAAAGCCTGGATGTGCATTTTTCTAAGAGTAATTTTCGATGCAAAATCTGACCAATTGTTAGATTGACTTACGATTTAGTTCCTTGTAAGTTACAAAAGGCCATCTGCATGAAGATACATTGCTATCGTGGCCACTGTTTACATAGAATATAATATGTTTTATGAATCATTTGATCTCTAGCAAAAGAAGCTACCAGCTTGCTTAGCATTGGCTTGGAAGGAACAATTTGCCTGTCAGCTTAGCCCTGTCTTTCCCTCCTGCATCACATCTACTCCTTTATTGCTACTGAATACTACTGAAGCTTCTTTAGGAAGCCAGTGTGGGACTATGCGCTGCAGTTACTCAGGAAAGATTACTTTAACATAGGGTAATAATTTCTGATGGGGGGGCATTCCAAGATTTTGGCAGGTGATCAAGGGCCACACTCTTCCATGATATTAATGGAGGAAATGTGGGGTCTGGGATGGAGATTGGGTACAGAAGGGAGCTTGGGGTAAGGGATTGGGGTGCAGGAGGGAGAGTGGGGTCTGGGAGGGAGTTTGGGTGAAGGCGGGGGTTGTGACCTGGGGCACTGGACTGGCCAATTACTCAGATGATTTAAAGTAACTTTAATTCAGAGAAGTGGCTGAGTGGGCTGTAGGTTTCTGACTCTGAGAGCTCTTGCATATATGGATGTAGGAGGGAGGCAGAGGGTTTGGGTATATGGAGTAGGGGGGCAAAAGGAAGGGTTGGGGTGCTGCAGGCAGGCTCTAGCCAGGAGACTTACCCAAGTGATTCCCGGCCAGCTGCCAAGCATGTTTCTCACTCAGATTGGGAGCCTGCCCCACCCCCACAGGCTGCAGGGCAATGTGCGTGTGTGAATAACTCTGAGCCAGAGGGACAGAGTGCTTCATGTGTTGCCTGCTATTCAGACAGGCAGCTCCCCATTGGCTGATTTCTGGCTAGAAACGGTCCAATGGGATTGTGCTGAGGTCAGGTACCTGAAGCCTTCTTTCCCTCCCCTCTGGGCTCAAGTTTTTAAAAAGAAATGGCCCTACAGACGCTTTTCTGAGTGACTTGTGGGTGGTATGTGGGCAAGTAAGGAGCCTGCCTAGGGTTGCCAGATGGTTTCAACAAAAATACCGGACACACTTGACATTACATCACAACACAATCTACATTACATCTTATTTAGACAATACCGGATACTTATATTTTCTCATTTATATTTTCTCAATTTGTTTCCTGAACAGAAAGCTCAAATACTGGACTGTCCGGTTCAAAACCGGACACCTGGCAACCCTAAGCCTGCCTGGGGCTCCTCGCAGCATCTGCGGGCCAGATCCAGTGGTTTGGTGGGCCGGATATGGCCCCCAGGCCATATTTTGCCCAGGACTGCTCTAACCCCACCTGAAAAGATTTAACCTAACAACCCTGATGCCTCACCAATCACCCATTAAGGACAGACTCCGTGGATGACAAACTGAATTTCAGTGACCTCCTTTGATTAGCTCCAGACAGTGTCTATTACACATTTCCAATTCCTGAAATCTCTGGCTGCAAACAATCAAGACAGTTTAAAGACCAAAACAATTACACTGAAAGGAGAGGGAGCTGTAAGTCTGCTGGATATGATAGGTTCTGAGATGAATCAAGAATTGAAGGGAGAAGGAATAAAATAAAAGATGCATCTTTCCTAATCATCTATATTCTTTTGCAATTTATTTATCCTGCTGTTGCACTAAGAGAAGAGCATGGTAGCCACAAGATTCCAGAGCCCTTAAAAAATCCTAATTGAAAGGGAAATTTTTGCTCTTGACTTCTTTGGCTGACTAGTGAATAGCCTCTCATCCCAAATCCGTATTCTCAAAGGATCAGTAAAGCAGGCTTTAAGTACTAAAGGGAGCTTGAAGTCCTGAACACTTGATCCTAGGGCTCCTTGCTCTGACTAATAAAATGACGAATGTTTTCTCAGATTTGCAATACCTGCCCCCACTATCGTAAGCAGGCTTCTGTGCCTGCTTTTGTTAACAGAGACTCTGCTTGTCAGTATGTTGGCAAAGCTACTGAAAGATATTCACCTCTCAAAGAGCTATACTTAAGGCTGCCAACAAAAATACCAGACATACTTGACATTACATTACATCACAATCTACATTACATCTTATTTAGAAAATACCAGACATTTATATTTTTCTCAATTTGTTTCCTGAACAGAAAGCTCAAATACTGTCCCCTAGGCCATGGGGGAATCCCCACCCCACCACCTTACGGTCAGGGTGCCTCTTATCCCTCCTGCCCTGGGGCCGCCCACCTGTTGGCAGTCCTGTCTTGTCCTGACCTGACCCAGGGGAGGCGGGACTTGAATGCACAACCCTGTCTTCCCCTGGCAAGTGTCCTGTCCCTTAGGCCACGCAGAAACCCACCCTGCGAAACTGGACGTCTGGCAACCGTAGCTATACTATGATGCACTTTTCATACATTTAAATCTTCTCACCACCCAAAACAACAACTGGAGACAACTATACTCAAAGGAACCTCCTAAGCAGCAGCAGCAGCATTTAGACTTACAACCTTTTTGTAAACAATTACTTTTTTTCCTCTGAGCAAACATGAGATTTGGCCTATGCACAAAACATTACACACCCAAATTGGGAGCTCTTATCAGGCAGGAATAGTCTGTTCTTAAATCAGCAGCAACCCTGAGATAAACAGATAAAGCCTTGTTTAGGTAACATGGTAGAAATTGCAAAGAAGGAAATTATAGTGATGTAACAATTCTGGCATACTAAGTTGTTCAGAACAGTGCTGTATCAGTTTCTCTTGTCAAATGAAAATACCCCCTTTTAAAAATAACCTTAAATTGCCTACAATAATGAGGGATGGCTTAGAATGACCCTCATTGAGGTTTTCTGGCTGAGTGGTAGTTTATAACAAAATTATCATGCTCAAATATAAAGTGCATCCAAGGAAGAAGAGTAAAAAATCCTCCTCTTACAAGTTTCCATCTATCCCTGCTCTCAAGAGACAGGCAAGTCTTATAGTTAAGAAACAGTAGTCTGGCAGCCAAGAAACCTGGGTTCCAAGCCTTGCTAGAGACTTCTGTGTAACCTTGGGCAACTTCTTAGTATTTCAGTTGCCTCATATGTAAAATATGCAGGGGTGAATTGAAGCTGCATTCGTTGTTTGAAAATTCCTTTGATAGCACCAGCTGGAATGTGTTTAAGACGAATGAAGTGTATGTTATATGTGCAGTAGGTATTGCCACCTCCAGGTTAGTAACAGCTCTGAACAATAAAACAATTAAAAAACCCTGCAAAACCTCACACTTGCTCACTGATTTATGGTGGTGCACACGGTCTTATAATGAAAGTTGTCCCATTGGATCATGAAGTTTCATCAAAATTCAAAGTTTTTCCACAGCAAGTAAGAGATGTCAGTAGAATTTTCTGACAGAAAATTCAACAGAAGACAAAACATGAGACTATGATGTACCACAGCAGCTCAGTCTCAGGGAGACTGTGATACATCCCAGGATAGAAGGGGAGAATGGAGCCAAGAAGGACCCAGAACTCCCATGAGGCACTGCAGTTACACAAATGGATGCTGACCCAACACAAAACAATTTAATATTTCAGAGATAAATTTTTGGTATGTCAACATTTCTACAGTGGACTAATCTAAAACTGAAAAGGCACTCTTGTTCCAGAATAAGAGTAACACACAGGGGCTTACTCCCAAAATAATTATTTTGGGGAGACTATTCAGAATGGCTATTTTGGTAAATTTCCAGAGCTACTCTACTCTGCCACTTTCCTTGCCCTTCTAAACTTTCTCCACCTTTTGAGGTTTTTGAGATTAGGGATGTTAAATTTATATGAATTGGCTAATCGAATAGTTGATGCAATTTGCATCAACTATTTGATTAGTTGATAAGGGTGCCTTGAAGCACCGCCTCCTTGCTGACTCTTTCTGATAGAGGCAGCAAGGGAGGAGGAGCAACAAGTAGTTCACATCCCTATTTGAAATAAACAAGGACTGCAGGGACACGTCTCTGAGGAGAGACTTTTCTATTTGTCTAACATCTGCTGCTAATTGAATCTATGAGAAAGCAGAAACATTTGCCAGTCACCAGCACCACCCTTAAATCTTTGGCCCAGACTACAGCAGTGCAGTTCATGAGTTCAGCCACATTCTGACGTTTTTCCTCCCATTTAAACAACTACTGTCTTATTTGGGAGGAAAACAGCAGATAGCATTTGTTCCAGAAATATTCTTCCTCCCTGCTATTTTATGGATGCTTATTTGTTCCATGCTCTATAAAGCTATTTCAGAGTTATACTTGGAGCATGCTAAAAGCAGCATTTATTATGCCAGGATATTTTAATATTAAAAGGAAAAAAACATTTGTACATACTAAGTTTTGCAAACAAATATTTCTATCGGACAACATATAAAAAAATCCCCTTTTAAAAAATGCCACCATTTTCTGGGATGTGGTTGATTCATAAATCCCAAAACAATAAAATTAAGCACTGCTTTTTTTTTTAATGTTGCAATTTCTACTGTGGGGATTTGTAACAAAATGTTGCCTTCGTGTTAAACATACAGCAAAATTGCAGAGTGCAGGGTGAACTGAAACATTAGCCTCAACAGTCATTGCTCTGTTTCATATGTGCTGAAAGGATCCCTTCAAATTTAATGCAAACTGTTTATATATAGTTTTTAAAAAGGAAAATGCAACTTTTCACCATGTTTGAGTATTTTACTATACCTTCCCACATGGCATGAGTAATAGAACAATAATTTGCAGACCTAAAGTATGTGAAATTATCAGCAGTTAATCTAATCTCTATGGTGTCTTAGAAATCTAGAGTGAAAAAACCCTTACCCACAAGCTGAAATAAGTTGTAAAGAGTTAGTCACTGATCTGACTTATAAATGATGCATTGTGAGGCAAAGCCCACATTTTACTCAACCGTTGCTATGTGAATAAATAAATGAGCTCAACATTACTCACAACTAGGCATAGGGTATTTCCTCAGTCAGTTCAACTTGGAAAACAGGGCATATTTTGTCTCATGGTTACATAAAAAGAACCAACAATTTGATCCATATTAGGGGACTCTCTGTATGATCAACAGGATCTGCCCTCAGAATCAGCTCCTTAGGTTTAAAAAAACTAGGATTATGGGTAAAATTTACATTACTTAAATTTTATAAATGTAACGAAACATCCTTAAGGAAATGTTAGGTTTAAACATTCCCCTGAAGGAAAGTCATCAGAGGAAAAGAACAATGGTCTAGTTTATGAGAACCGGAAAGTGGAGTGGACTATTGACAGTAAGTGAATCTAATCAAAAGGAACATGTCTAATTTTTAAAGGCGGCTTTAAAAAAAAAAAAAAGAGAGAGAGAGACTTGAGGGAATAGTTTTCCATCAGATAATTCAGTTCTACTGAAATCTAAATACTTTCTGAAATCATGTAGATTTCAACAAAATTTTGTTTTGGAGGAAAAAAAGAATTAAGATATTCTGTCATTATTGGAATGTATTTCAACATTTGTGAAATTAAATATTTTGAGTTCTTACAAAATGACATTGTTTAGAATCTAAAATGTAAAAAGTCAAATAGATTTAAATTGCTAGGGTTTTTTAATTTTCTTGTGGAGAATTTCAAAGTTTCCAGGTTTTGTTCCTAATTAGAATGAAAAAAAGTTTGTAAAAATTGAAAACCTCTGGGAAATGAAATTTCCAGCTCTATGCATTTCACAGTCCAAACTGAAAAAAATAGTAGGTAGCATAAGGAAATCAGTATTATATATCTTGAGATTAATTTTTATTTTCATTAAGCATCATGTGTAAGGATTTTAAATACTATTAAGGGGTTGATTTAAATCCCATTGAAGTCAATGGAGTATGTTCATGAACTTTTATGATTTTGGGGTCTTTATCTTGACAGTGTCCCTAACTGATCTGGCTAAAATATTTCTTGTTACTCAAACAAATTGGTTTTGGGATGGCAAACATTTTCATACGACAAAATCAGGGCTAGAAAAAAAATTACTTTTCAATAAGGGGTCATTACATTTTTATAACCCCCTAGTATGAATGCAGTCATATTGGCATAAATGTGATTTATCTGTACAGCTCATTCCTAGGAATTAACCAAAATAGAATAATAGACTCCTAGACTCCCAGGAGGGACCAATGGAAGGGACCTCAAGAGGTCATCTAGTCCAACCCCTTGCACTCATGGCAGAATTAAGCACCATCTAGACCATCCCGACAGGTGTTTTTTCCCCCAATCTTTTCTTGTACTTAAATCATTGTTATTGCTCTTCTCTGGACTTTCTCTAATTTGTCCACATCCAATCTGTAGATCTCTTTGCCAGAGGATGTTGTGAAGACCAGGACTTTAACAGAGCTCAAAAAAGAGCTAGATAGATTCATGGAGGTTAGGTCCATCAATGGCTATTAGCCAGGATGGGTAGGAATGGTGTCCCTAGCCTCTGTTTGTCTGGAAATGGATGACAGGAGAGGGATCACGTGAGGATTACCTGTTGTGTTCACTCCCTCAGCGTCATCTGACACCGGCCAATGTCGGCAGACAGGATACCAGACAGGATGAACCTTAGGTCTGGCCCAATATATGTCTTGAGTCCATTTTAGGAAATATAAGAACATAAAACTCCAGTTAAGGCCTAATCAATACAGAGTAGAATGGAAGAATGACTTCTGTTGTTTGGGATTTTTGCAACAGTGTCACACTGTTGACTCATTTTTAACTTGTGGTTCACTGTGACCTCTAGATCCCTTTCTGTAGTACTCCTTCCTAGGCAGTCATTTCCCAGTTTGTGTGTTTGAAACTGATTGTTCCTTCCTAGTGCAGTACTTTGCATTTGTCCTTACTGAATGTCAACCTATTTACCTCAGACCATTTCTCCAGTTTGACCAGATCATTTTGAATTTTAACTTTCTCCAAAACACTTGCAACCCCTCCCAACTTTGTATCATCTGCAAACTTAATAAATGGGCTCTCTGTGCCATTAAGTACCCATAGTTAAATTGGAACAGAATTGTGTGCACAGTCATCTCTTTCTCGTGCCTCACATCAGCCATTAGCAATGCTGTTGTGCAGGGGTAGGGTACCTATGTCCAGCAAGCAGTGCTAGCACCTTCTCTTGCTGTGGAGTGGAAGCCCCAAGCCATGAGGGGCCCAATCATGTCAAGCCATGGGCCAGCTCTGCCTAGCAGGGGGTAGGAAGCTGCTTTGTCTACTGCAGAGAAGTGCTTCCTACAGGCACTGCCTCTTCCCCCGTCACTCCTAATGGGAGCAGCAGGAGCTGTGCCTGCAGGGAGCACTTTCTTGAAGCTCACAGACCCACACAGAGTCATTTGCACTTCCCTGGGAACTGCATCACAAAGGTGCCCCCATTCCCTGCCCCCTCCCACACTCCCAATTCCACCCAGACTACACACCCCGCCCTGCACTCTACCTCCTGCCCAAACCCTGCACCTTTAGCCCAGCCCACTTCCTAGCTACTCTGTCCTGCACATTGAATCATTTTGGCTCTCCCTTAGAGACTCGGAGGGGCCCCATAAAAATCTACTAGCCCCAGTCCCCCAGAAGAGTTAATTCAGGTCAGGTAAGCCCTGACCCTCCATCTCTCTCACTCACCCTGCAGCTTCTCAGTTGGGGACTGGGTCAGTGAGAGGTTTTTTGTTTGGTCTGGTTGCTTGTCAATTTTGTGTGGCTGCTAACTGATTGTCCTGTGGGTCAGTAACCCCCAATCCCACGTAAGGTTCCCCACCCCTGTGTGTTGTGGAACCATGTCTTTTCCCTTTCTGAACTTACCTTTATAAACAAACAAACAAACAAACAAACAAGCAAACAAAAAACCCTTCCTTCCTTTGAAAATCTAGAGTTACATTTTGTGAAGGATTTCAGTATTAGCTTAATTTTGAATTAAAAAAAAAATTGAAAATGTGTAATTCTCCTCCAAGAAAGATTTGAAATGTCTGTGTTCATTTTAGGGTGACCAAACATGTCCTTTTGATTTAAAAAGTTCAAAACATGTGAATTATATAATCGAAAATTTTAAACATTCTAAAACATAGATCATTTCAATATAAAAACTCATTCCAGAAATATCAAAATGTGATGGTTAGGCACTGGTGGAATATCTTCCAAAACAAAATTTTAGCTAATGTGATTGAATTTCACAAGGCATTTTGATTTCAACAGACACACATTTTCCAACAATATTTCTAGTACTATCATTATCAACAGTAAAAATGTTTTGCATTCAACAAATTGTGCCTTGATAGTCTATTGTTTTGTCTGTCAAACAGGTTAGTCATCCTATGTTAGAAAAATTCTATTTTAAATATATGTAGTGGGGTCAATCATCGTAATATTGAGCTACTGAGTTTTATCCATCATTAGCTAAAACTTTAACTTCAAATGGAACTTAAACTATAGGCTGCTAGAAGGATTATTTACTCTTTAGCACAAAAAAGTACATTTTTCCAGTATCAGATGAGCCCAAGGCATTATGAACGAGATTTATCCATCAGACCTTTCCACCCATGCACAAATCATTCACTTCAAGTATTCCTGAGTGTATGACCTGTGTGTCACAAATGTTGTGCTGTATCAGACCCTAAGTGGCAGTGGGAGTTCACTGACATAAAAATCATGAGGTCCCTCAGTCTAAAATGATTAATTTTCACAGAGGGAGAGAATTAAACCCATGTAAAGAATGTTGGATGAGTTTCCTCTTCTGAGAAGCACCCTCCCTTGAGTGACAAATTTATCTTCAGAAATATTGTTCTGACCTTCTATCGGTATCTATAAAAAGAAATTAACTTATCAGGGGCCCAGAAGCACCTCCTTCCTAGCCAACCCTACAGTCAAGGACTGCCTGCCTGAACCCTGCTCCTACTGAAGTGGGAGTTTTGCTAGTGATATTGTTGGCAGACGGCCCTTATGTTGACATCCGTAGGAGCAGGGCCTGAAAGGATCAAGTAATAAAAAGCAATGTGTTTTTCCCAGTGAAAATGTGGCACAAATGATTATCCTTTTTCTCTGTTCGTGCTCATTCTGCAGAGCCTGCAGAAAGGGTCTTTGCATTTTATGTATGTTTGGAATCCCAAGCAGCAGCTGCCGCAAATCAGAGTTGAAAGATTCCAGGCTAGACCTTCAGCTGGTATAAATCAGCATAACTCCATGCAAGTCAGCAGAGCTGTGCTAGTTTATGCTGGCTGAGAATCAGATCATTTAAAATAACTTCATATGTAAAAAACTAGTAAGAAGATATATGGTAATTTAAATGAAGATTAATGCATAGTTGAAAATACCTTAATAAACTGGCAGATCTGTCACTGAGCGAGAATTACAGGGAAGTAGTTTTCTTAGCTCAATGTTGTAAAACCTTGGCTGGCCAAGTGAGTTTCAGGTCGCTGTACCTGTATCACCCCTCTTCTTTGATTTGAATCAAGGTCCAAAACACATGCTTGACTTTAGGCATTATTGTAATTAGAACTTACTGTGCACAGAATTAAAGTACAGGCAGTCCCCGGGTTACATGGATCCGACTTACATCGGATCCCTACTTACAAACGGGGTGAGGCAACCCCGCACTAGCTGCTTCCCCCCAGCAGACCAGGGAGACACGAAGCTAGCGCCCCCCCCCAGCAGACCAGGGAGACGCGGAGCGGCTTTTCTCAGCAGACACCTCAGCTTGAGAATAAAGGACTGAGGGAAGTGAGGTGTGGGAGAATAAAACTGAGCTCTGGAGAAATGTTTGGCTAGAGTTTCCCCTACAATATGTACCAGTTCCGACTTACATACAAATTCAACTTAAGAACAAACCTACAGTCCCTATCTTGTACGTAACCCGGGGACTGCCTGTACATACATTTAAGTCTTTGTAAGACTGAAACCTAAGCAGAGCAAATAGACAAATGGAAGAAAAGCAGGAGTTTCTTAGGATGCATGAAGTAACATGAAATCAAACAGTTCGTTAGGAGTAGCATTCCTCATCTCTTCTTACCTACTCTCATCACAACATCTGAAGCTTATTTTTAAGAAAAGTCATGTGGGAACTTAAAAAAAAAAATCAGAGCCACAAACTACAGAATCTCATTCTTAATTTTCCATCAGACAATGGAGCAACTACCATATTCCATCCAAAAGGAAAATGCTTTTATTCATTCAATCTTTCCTTACAATAGGTGTTGATAGTACTATATACCCATGTTCTAGTCCTAGCCACTATAGAAAGGTACAGTCAGCACCTCCCCACCTCTGCCCCAGGTCCCATCCCACCTGCCTCCAT